ATTATGCCAGAAGTCAGGCTTTTTGGAAACTGCATCCCAAATGATTTAGCATAGCTCTCCCAAGGTTTACAGATCTCTTGACTGCTTAAGAACCCTATCTGGCAAGTTGGTAAGAATCTTCAGAGGTTTTGCAAGTTTAATTTCCTTGGCAAAACAAGGTGTTTTTCTTATTATCTTCAAATTTAATTGTTGGCTCTTCACAGTTTCATGCTTCCATCGCATCTACTGTTCTTGCCAATGTAGTGGTCTGTAAGCAGCTCCTCAAATTATCTGCGGTAAAAGGTGCCGAGTGCTAGGTTTGATAATCTGTCAGCACTGCAGAATGTACTGCACTGCCTGAGATTTTAAAAGGCTGATATTTGTTCCAAATGCAAATTTGTACAAAACAGGCCTTATTCTCCTGAGCACAACTCTCCAAATCTCCTCCCAGGCACATGCTCAGATAGTGCTTAGGGAAGGGAGGGATGGCTTTTATGGGGCATGCTAATTATGAAACAGATTTTATCAGCCGTCTTTGCAAATTGGCCTCAAAATTACCAGAACCCCAAAGTAGCATTAAAACTGCCTTGTAACGGCAATAATGAATGAGCTTCAGTGCAGCAGCCAAGTAAGTAATGTTCTGAGACATGTTGAGTGCTTGGGACTTTGTGGAATCTGGTCCTAATACTGGGTTTTTTCCTCCATAGCACATCTTGAAAATAAAGATGATGGTCAGAGGCTTGGTGGCATTTCTGTGTAAGAGCCAACAGGCAATTTAAAGGGCCTCAGCTATTGCAATTAGAACCTCTTTAGGTCTTTGCTGAGAAAAGCCATCCTCCAGTTTATGCAAAGTCCTGATACGCATGCAGAAAATGCTCTGCAAATTTATTTTTTTCTTTTAAAACATTAGTTCTTCCTAAATGATCATAAGCTGCCATGGAGGAGGCTAGCCTTGATGTTTTGCTGTAGAGTCAAAGTCTTCCTTTAGGCTTGAAACAGGCAGAGACTGATGCTCAGCTGTGCTATAGGCATGGAGGAATGTTGCTGTTGTTCTGATTACCTTCCCTATAAATAAAAAACAATTATTTCTGCAGTATGAAATACTGCCCTTTTCTTACAGCCAAAGGTAAATAGCATTTCTAGAAGTTCTCACTGTTGCTTCTTTCAGTCTTCCTCCACACACCAGTAATCCGAGTGCTGTGGTTTAGGTTTTAAGGCAGGGCGAGGAGTACCTTTGAATGAAGGTATGCAGCCCGCTTCAAACACTTGAGCACAGCTCTGGCCAAGAAGGATGTGCCAAGGGGCACCTCTGCAGGTCCGTGGGCCAGGGCTTGCAGATGGATGTGCACTGCTCCATGTTGTGCTGTGTTTTGGAGACCCAGGTGAGCCTCCTTTTACTTAATTTAAAAGTATTTTTTTAGGCAGTTTCTGCCTAGCTTAAGTGACGGGTGTCTCTCGGGCTGGTTTCTCTGGATCGTAGCCTTCGGCTTTTCTGGACAGTAGTTGCAACAGGGGTACCTGGACTATTTCCCGGCTCTGTCGGTGGCTGGAATGGAGTTAGCGTGTGTTTTCTTTGCCTTTGGTCCTGCAGTGCCAATACACGTTGTCCTGAAGATTTCTGCCTGACCCAGAAAGAGTAGCAAGCTGTTTCAGAGAGTAGAGTTTTCTGTCAAAGATTAGACATAAACAACAGGACTCGCCTCTTTGGCATGTGGCCTTTTACTGGGAGAAGGGTGATCTCTCCTTGGCTTTCCTGGTTAACTTATTTCAGACCACCTCCTTCTGCTGGTTTCACTACAGGAAGGGGGTGTCAGCAGTAAACCATGGCCTTTCTGAACCTCTATTTAAAGAGGAGAGGTTTGCCAAAGCTGCTTGGTCAGCCTCCCTGCCCATGCTCTGTGCTGCCTGCCTCTGAACCTGGAGTCAGAGATGAGCCGGGACAATCCCACAGACTTCCGCCTCGGCTGCTGTGGCTCTCCCACCTCCACTTCCTGTGGGATGTTCAAACCAGGCCATGTATGGTTTGAATTTAGGTCTATTTTAGTATCAAAATGCCCATTTAGAGCTGTAATTTACTGCTGTCTTCCTAGAACTGTAGATAATGTATGCTACCAACTACTTCCTCTCCATCAGAATAAAATGCTTTTTAAGCAGGGATAGGGTGGAGTATTTTTTTGTGTTTTGGAGATGCTGGTTTAAGTCTTTTTTTTTTTTTTTTTTTTTTTCTTTCCAGTATCTTTTTAGAGGAGGAGAAAAATCTCATGTTCATTCACTTGCTGTATGTTGGACTTTTGGTTGGGTGGGGGATGGGGGGGCCGTGTGTGTGATTGTCACTTGAATTTCAGACTAAATTTACTAAGTTTTGGCACTTTATAGTGCCAAACTTCTTTAGCTAGGAAAACTAGAAACTTGCTGGAAATTGTGTTGCTACTTACAAAACTACATGGATGCATAATACAGATATACATGCAAAATTATGTATACTATATGGGGGGGTATTCATATGTATGAATACATACAGACACATATACACACATGCAGACACATATGATGCAGGTATCATTCAAACTTCTTTCTCCAACGGACATCAGTTCGCTGCCACTCCATGAAAATGGTAAGTTTTGAATAAATTTGCCATTTCCTTTGTCAATTTGCTAAGAAAATAGATAGAATATAGAGCCAAGCAGGCTTTCTTCTCCACATTGATTAACATAAACCTCATAGAAAGAAAAAATATTTTAACTTAAGTTTAAAATTATGTTTCACAGACCTACAAAACTCTGGACTCTTGAATTAGGTAGTGTTTCACTTTATCTTTTCAGATGCCCTTTTCTCAAACAGCTCTTGCAGAATGCTCCTCCGTTGCACCTGTATGAACTGGGGCCAGGTGGGAAGAAGAACAACTCTCAATTCTTTTTGTTTTTTTTTTTCTTTCTGTGTAATCTATCCAGGTTGCGCCCATTACCCTGCATCTTTCGGGAATGGTAATGAATTGTGTGGTTCTCCTACTGTTTCAGTGTGACCTTCAGTATGTTTCTGTGTCTCTAATAAAGTCTAGACCTTATTTTCCTCTTGGGATTTACAGTCTGTTTTGAGCTCTTGCATGCAAAAGGAGGACAGTGTCTAACGCTCATAGCCAGGTGGATCTGTGGATCTGATCGTCTTTTGCTCTTCTGTTGCACAACAGGAGTTTAACAGGGTACCCATTTAAACGTGGTGTCAGAGTGCATTAGCAGTGTGCTTTTGCAGCTTTGTCAAACCAATAATGAAAGAACTGGCAGGTCATTCTCAAAGCACATGTTAAAACCCTAAGGAAAAGCGTTTAATCTAATTTTACCCATCGTTCCTAATTGTCGCTGCTTGGAGTGAGGTGATCATTATAAATAGGCATCAGTTCTCTTCTAGTGTGGATTTTCTCAACGCTGTTTTCTTTTCTCTTCTTTCCTTTTTTAATGGCTAACTCTTTCCACTGCAGACAGGGCAACGCACCTTCCCTAAGAGGAAGTATTAAAGCACTGAAACAGTGCTTCAGATCCTGTGCCCTGAGATATGTCGCTGTTGAGCAGTGAGTTCTCCCTACCTCAGTCAGCTAAGGTAAATTCATCTCTGTGTACATCTAGCTGGGGGTATGCCCATCCTGAAATGTCACAATTAATAAATGACTTCAGCAAAGGATTGCAAGAGTGAGCTGAGGTCTGGGAAGGCAAGCCTTCTAAAGAAAGACTAGAGGCAGCCCATCAGAGAGAAAGTGGACAAGTAAAAGGGATCATGGTCTACAAATAGCTGAACAAGAGAGACATTTCTGGCAGGGTAGATAGCTCTTCAGAGAAGCAGAAGAAGGCAGAACAGTGTTTAGAAGTAGAAACAAAACTCACTTGGATTTACAGACCTATCGACTTCTTCATTACTTACAGCCTTTAAATCAGAACAGGATCAATTTCTAAACCGGGATATATGGACTTGATGCACATGTTTTTAGCCAGCTTTTTTCACAAGTTTTATGCAGGAAACAATTACTTTTTTCTGCTCCTAAATGTGTGCTATGAAATTAAGGTCATTCCATACAATGAGTGTGTGTTGGGTTTTTTTCTTTCTTAATTTTCATCCCCTTCTGTGGTTAAGCCTCTATTTTCTGTGAGCTCTGGTCTGGGAAGTAATTTGTGTTTTCCACTGATCCTGTGTAGTCAGACTGATACTGAATGACCTGGCTGAGGGTGTTGTGTCCTATTAGAGGAGTGGAGACCACACTACAATATCTTGGCTATGGAAAATTTTTCTAATGTGTCTTTGTCACTTTTCACAAGTGGAATTGCAAATTTTTGCGAAAAAAATAAAGCGGCTAGAGATGGATGTGTGACCTTTCATACGGTTGTGAATTGCTTATGGTTTAGGAAACAAAATGATACCTTTATTATGGAAAAAACACAGCAAAGTCCTCGTTTGGAAGGCTGGCGGTGCTGAGCAAGTTACGTGCTGCAGGCAACCTTGAACTTTGCTCTCCCCTCAGCCAAGCAAAAATACAGGCTGAGGAGCAATAGCAAAATTTCTCATGGGCAAAGTTGTTGGTCAAACTCATACATTCAGTGCCGCTGAGAGGAGTGCAGACCAGACAGAGCTTCCTTCCCTCAACACCTGCCAGCGGGCGTGCTAGAAAGCCAGGAAGGGTAGCAGAGCCCCCCAGTTGCTTGAGCCACCCGTGGACTGGAGAGTGGCTGTGTCTGCCAGTGGCATCTTGGGGAGCTTGTTTACTTTGTCCTGGCCTGGGCATAGACTGAGCAATGCAAGACAGCTGGACGGGTTCTTTTGTTCAGTTTCCTTATGTGTTGTTTTTTTTCTTTCCCCTTCTTCTTTGCAGTATGTGGTCATTCCAACACGCCGTGCAACCGCAGTGGCCTTGCAGAGTTTCACTTCACACCTCCTGGGAGATGCTGGCAGTCCTTATCTGATTGGATTTGTAAGTGCTCACAGCAGGTTTTGGCAGGGTTTTGTGCCTGTGTTTGTTTTTGTTTACTAACTGCTTATCTAAAATGCCAAGTTAAACCATGCTAGGGAAGGCAGGCCTGTATTTATCAGCAGAATGGGAAGTGTTGCAGTGCAATGCAACTTTTTTACATGCTTATGTTATCTGTGGGCTAGAATTCAAACCTGGAAGGACCACCTGGGCACAAGAAGTGAGCTTCTAAAAATTTTTTGGCCTAGGGTATTTCTAAAGCTCCTCTGTAAAGGAGGAGTGGTTGCTTCTGTGGTGTGGACATGGATCCATTAGAAATTAGGTTGGAACAGTCGTGTGTGTGTTTAACTGTTAATCTGGTCTCATAAGCCAAATATCTATTTATGGGTAGCAACATGCAGCTGTTCTGACCTGCTGATATTTTGAACCTCTTTTGTATGTTGATAAATGATGGTACAAAATCCATGGCAGGATGGGTGTGTATGTTTTGGGGTTTTTATTAGTATTCCTTTCTGGTGTGTATGTTTTGGGTTTTTATTAGTAGTATTCCTTTCTATTACTGCTGCAGTTGTTGGCCTTGGTCTGACTGGAGATTTCCCTTATTATGCCACCGTTATCCTAGTGCAGAGCAAAACAAGACCTACTCCAAAAGCTGGCAATCAGAGACCATTCACAGGTGAAAACATAAGGCCTGGGGAAATTTAATGAGGAAAAGAAATCTAGATACACTGGGGTCATTTCTTTCCCTTGCATCCTTCTGTGGCATTTGATGCATTGAGTTTCAGAGAACACCATTTATAAAATATAGTAGCTTCCATGTAAAGCCCTAAGTGGCACCGCTTATGTTGTGTCGAAGGTGCTACAGTTTTCCAGTGATGTAACTGGGATCTTCACTAGTCCCATCAGCTGAGAGACAGAACTTGGATGTGCTTTTCCAGCTCAGTACTGCTGTGTGACACAGCTGCTTGGTGCCGTGGACCTTTTTTTCTTTTAAAAAAACCTGTCATTTCTCATTTATTCATCCCATAGACACTGGTGTGTGTATCTATACATATTTATTTATACATGTTTAATTTTGTGTGTGTATATATTTAAATATACATAAGTATTTACTCTTGAATGCCAGCTCCCAAAAATGATGTAGCCCTCTGAAGCACACATGAAGAGACAGGTACAGAGAAGGCTGAATGGACCAAAGAAATGAGAAATATCTCAAGAAAATAAATATGTACAATTTGGCTTACTCTTTATTTACTTCGATGTTGTGGGTACCCTGGGAGAAATCACCTTACTTTAGAAATTACTTGAAAGTGGCAAGATCAAAGAAATCACTGGAAGAGACTGCTTTATGCAGGGCAGGCGACATGGGGAATGTCAAGTAGGAGAATTAAATAAGCAGGCCAGCGTGCTTTGAAGGCAGGCGCCAGCGATGAGAGGCAGGGTCTGACATGCAGGTGAGGCTGTCTCAGGTGACTCTGCTGCATGTTCCTTCTTCTTCTTACGTAAGAGGGACGTCCAGGAGGAATGGAGAAGGCCCTGAAAGACTGCAATTAATCTTGAAAGTTGCCTAGGGCTCTTTAGTGTCACAGATTTAAAAAAGGACTTCGGTTGTAGAAAATAATGTGTCTTGCCCTTCTGGTATTGAGAGATCAAGCAAGTTGTGAATTACTTAAGGATGCTAGCCTGAAATAGCTGCCTTAGGCTTTCCTTAGACTGGGAAAATATTAATTATGTTTTTGAATTACTTTTTGCTAATGCTGTAGTTGTTGGGCAGTTCTCATTTGGGAGGAGACTATCCAAATGCAAGGCTCTGTGGCAGGAGCGCAGGAGTGGAGCACTCATGTCATGGAAGGCACCAGCATCCTTTTCTGTAGCCTCTAGACTGGCTTGGCTGACTCATGCTCCCTGTGCTACAGTGACTGAAAGGTCAACTGCAGCTTTCGCGTAACACAGAAAACCAAATATTATTTAAAGTGAAAGGACAAACAGCCGACTTCTCCACCTGAGCGAAGACAAGCAATCAACTTTCTTGTTAAAATCTGCAGGTGTTTGTCATCGGAATTGTACAGCTGAGTTGTAGGGTGGAGACCTTCATGCAGGGCAGAGATCTCACTTGGGCAGGTTACAGAAGTGGCTTGGATTATGACTAGGATTTTCAAGGCAGTCTATTGGAGCTAAGCAACCTACTTCTGTTGGCTTTAAGGGAAATTTGGGAACCCAGTTCCCATAGTCCTTCTGGGAACTCCCAGACTGAGGACATCAACCCACACTGCTGTTACTTCAGAGTTACCATGAAGCAGACCAAGAGCAAAGTGTAGGTCTTGAGAAGAGAGAGAGGGTAAATCAGCTGAACTGCTGTAACAGGCATGCTCAGAATTGGTAAAATTCAGCCTCCTGATCATTCGTCAGGGTTCGTCTGAGATCCTGAAGGTCTGACATTTCTTCTGACTGCTTACAAAATTCTCCTGAAGCTCCCTCGCTAAATGAGCAGTGCTTTGATCCAGATGTGGCCAGAATCCCTACATGGTTTTGGGGAGTTCATAGTGAGATTCCCTCTGGCAGTGCTCTTAGTAACAAATCGGATACCCATGTCTTTGTAGGACTATGCTGTCGCAGGCAGTTGTCTCTGTCTGCCGGATACCAATAACATTTGTATTGATCTTAAGTACCTTCTATGTTCCACATGAGGATTGTAACAGCTGCAGCCTTGTGTGCTCCCTTGCTCTGTGGTGTGCCAAAGGAGTTGAAGGTCAGACTCAGGTTTTTCTGTAGTGTCTTCCAGTTCCAAATCTTGCAATGCAGTTCCTTATAATCACCCAGAGCACCAAATACATGTTGGTGTTTAAAAGGTAAGTGGAAGGAAGCATGTATGTATGGTTATTTTTCATGTCTCTGTAAATATTGATAACTTTTGTGGTGGTAAAAAGGCGTAAAATTGACTTACAAAGAAGTTATGCAAATGCAGGTTTAGAATAGCAGCTGTAATTTGCATAAGATTTTACTACCTGCCAAGCACTGAGATCAATTACTATAAATTAGTGCTGCCTATTCATTCACAAATAAGAAGAGGCATTGCTGCAGTATTTCATTAGATGAGACAGTTTTCAGGACCTTTGTGATAACCTGCAGAGTTTAAATAATTCCTGTTTAACAACGTGGAGTATAACACCATGCTTTATTCCTGAGGTAGTCAGTGAGAAATTTCACCTGTTCAGTGCATTACACCCAAATATCTCTTCAGGTGACATACTTGTGTGACTTTTCCATCTTTGAAAGGTCCCACAATGCAGACACGGTAGCTGAAGCATAGAACAGTTGAGAGAAACACCCCAAATCCCACCACTCACATTGAGTGTCAGATAAAGGTCTTCTAATTGCTCTTCCTGTGCCCTAGACAGCATTTCAAACTTAGAAGAGCCGAGTGGAGGTATCCAGCAGTGGAATATGAAATACAGTCAACTCTTCTCGTGCTCCAGCTCTTTGTATTGTTAATTCTGGTTACATCTTTGTTGCCCTTTAAAAGTAAATATTTGTAAGAAGTGCTAGCGAGACTGTGCCTGTGTGTTCATCTGTGCACATGCATGCATGAACCTGTCTTCCCTGCTCAGGGTTTACATTATTCCTTCACACAAACAGCAGTCTTCCTCCACTCGCTGACACACTCTTTTGCTTCAGGAAAACTGAGTACAGGCAGTAATTTTTTTCCCATTTTGAGGCTGTGCCTTGGTACTTTTTCTTTCCTCCAAGTCTGTCATTTGCTTCCTATCCGAGCACAGCAGTGCTTTCCTCTTCCACCCTTGCCTTGCTTCTAGCCCTGGCTGTGATGGAAGACAGGACCTACTGCAGGCTTTGCTCTCTCTACATGTGCCAGGGAAATTGCTGCTGTGGGTGGTTGGTGGTCCTTGCTGCTCTGGTGCTGTTGACTCTCCCGTTAATTTAATAAAGCTTCCTGCTTTATTAAATTCTTTCTTGTCGCCCCTGTGCACCCATCCATCAGGTCTAGGGGTTGAAACCTGTCTGTATCTGGTTGTCACCTGGCAACATCAACGTGTGAGGACGGTGTTCCAAAGTGCTGGAGATCAGCTTTCCTCCACCAGCAACTTTTGATGGGCTAAAAGCTACTCCCTGTACTCTGCTGGTGGTGGTACCCACCTGTCCTGACCTCCTCGGCTGCTGCATCTTCAATTCACCCGAGGGACACAACCTCCAGCCACTCCGGCCAAGCAGCGTCAGGACAGTACGCCACGGTCTGGCAGCGAGGCTCTGTGAGCGGGGGGCTCTGTGAGCGGGGGGCCCCGCTCGCTCCTCCGTGTGCTGAGGGTCACGCAAAAGCTCTCCCCATCGGTCTGTCTCTAGTGATGCAAATGGCAGCGCCACCCGAATTGCTGGCTCTCCGACGGCCTCCTCTTGGCAGGCGCCGCGACTGACCGCTGTGTCGGTCCGCAGTGCCCAGGCATGTTGTTTCGCCTGGCAGCAGAGATCAGAACAGGCATCTTGTCTTTCAACAGTCTCCTTTCGAAAAAGAGGTCTGAGTGCGAAGGACCTTGTAATTAACTGTAAGCAAATCGGAGCTGTTCTGCTTTGGTTTGATGGGGTTTTGTGCAACTCCTAATATCACCTGGAAGCATTTTAAGAATAAGCCTATCACTTGTCACCCTTCACTTTTTTCCCTTCCCCAACTTTCTTATGTGAGTAGGTTGATAAACTAGATCTAATGAGCTACTTAAATAGCAAGAATGCTAATGACCTTCTTTTAGCATGTAGTTAGCAGAACAGTGTTAATTATCACTGGTGCAGAGTATCAGGGAAGGCAGATTGATTAGGGGCAACTCTGGGAAAATTGTAGTAAATGCAGCAATTAAGATACTTTTTTAATGAAAGTTATAATTGGAGGTGTAGATTTCACATGCTTCTTGTCCCAGTTTGAGACAGCCCTTTCGTTGATTTGGTTTCAAAGGTATTTATCCATCCAAGTAAATATATAAGTATAGAAAGTACTTCTA